AGCAGCCTTGGCTGATTAAGTTCTTACTCGAGAATTATTGATAATCTCAAAATTAAACGTGTTAGAAGTTATGATCGAGATAGTGTAAGAAGTGTACCAGGATGGAAATGGGAGTCACATCACTTTGCTCCTTGACGAGTTGTAGTTTGGTGTTGGGACTAGCAGGGCTTACCGAAACTGGTGAAACTTCCAGGAATGTCTCACGTCTACGCTCTGTCACTTGCATTTGTCATGACTACCCTGTCAGAGGGCAGCAGATGAGGTGCTTTCATCGAGGGACCTCTAGCAACACTAAAAAGTGTGAAAAACTGTGATGAGCAGATTCTTTGAAATTCTGATAAATACAGATAAAACCATCGCTATTTGAAAGTAAGCGTTTGCTGAAGCTTATCACGGCAGTCCAGCCAAGAAGAGAAGGCCTTTTGAAAGGCAGTGCCAGAAGTTATTAAATGGTATTTCAAGGTCTCCTGATTTCATGTACATTTTTAAAGTTCTAGGATTCAAATTGCTTCGTGGGGCCTTTTTGAGGCTGAACCCGGCCACATCGCTTTAAGCCCCTTCGGGTAAAGGGTGGAAGTTTTTAGAGAATTTGGTCGGCGCCAGATGAAATCTCACAGACGTGAAAGAAAAAAGTCTACATGTTGCCTGTGATTCTGCTCTTTTTCTTCTTTCAACAACATCCTCGTCGTTCAGAATGACTTCAGCAGTACATTCAAATTCGGCGTAAATGTCCCTTTTTTAGCCGCACCTATCAGCCCCAGCAGTGCTGATCCGGCTCTCTGAAGCAGTAGAAGCTCTGGAACTCAGTCACATTCGGCCATTGACTGTTGGCGCCAAAATGGGTCTCTCTTAGACTGGAGATGAGGGAAGGGAGTGAGGGCATTTAGAACAGAAAGATTAACAACTCTTCAACCCGTAAAACATGCAGCCGGAACATGTTGAAGAGGCGATGAGGCGGGCTTGAAACCGGTTGGTGGTTGTTGAGTCTCAACACGCCCCACACCACATTTGTCATTTACACCGTTTCAGACGCAGCCCACCAGTGGCCTCTCAGAAGCCCTCCGAACCAGAGCTACCAGATTCCGGGACTCGGACTCAGATTCAGTGCAATCCAAGTCCAGCCGGTGGTACTAATCTCGCCAAAATTGGACTCGTGCCTTGTGCCCTGTCCGGCCCGACCCTCAAGAATCATAAAATTTGCCATCTCGACTGGTCTTTGGGTCTGCAAGGGGGGCGAAGAGGGTTGGATGCACGGTCTACACGATTCTGTCTGCCGAAGCCGGAGGGAGAGGGAGGAGGGGAAAGTGAGCGTATGACAGTCAAATTGGGCATCGTTCGGAGTGGAACGAAAACATGTCGTCGCTTTAGAGACCATCTGCCGGGGAGGACTGGCCCCCGAAGACGAGGCAACAGTCCACCCGAATGCATA